GTGGCTGTGTGGCCTTGGGCGAGTCCCTTCATCGCACGGAGCCCAGTGACCGCAGCTGTAAGTGGGAAATGATTAGCCTGCCTTGTGGGGTTCCAGGGAGGTTCCGGGAGACGGTGTGAGACGTGCGCACATGGGCACTGCGGAAAATGCTTTCTGTTCTGCCTGCAAAAGAGAAACGGCAGGATTTGCCGGCCCCCACCCACCCCAGCCCCTCACCCCGGCTCAGACCTGTGCCCTTTCTCACCTGCTTCCCAGGCCCCTTAATACCCGTGAAGCCATTAAATATTGAAGTCCCGGCTGTGTAGCAGCCAGTTGCCCTAGCAATCACCCATTTTGGGGTGGATTACCACGTTTTTTAAAGTGTCTCTGGCAGTTCCAGGCCCGGAGGGGTGACGAGATGGGACCCCCGGGAGGGCGGGTGGGGTTCCTGCTCCATGCTGAGGCACAGAGACGCAGTTGTCCAGGGAAAATAGCCATGGGGCCCGAGGGTTAGAGACAGAGCTGGCTTCGCCCGAGTTTTCAGAAGCTGGACTTGAACCCAGGACTCATGTTTGCCAGTTCCTTCTCTTCACTACCTGCTTTTGCCTTGTGGGCATGTTGTGCAATAGCCCGCCAGCCAGCAGGTTTCCAGCACTTAGCAGCAGTGTGCCTTCTGGGGCCTGACCCCAGTTCTGCCCCTGACCCACCGGGCCAGCCTGGGAAGCTCACTCACCGTCTCTGAGCCTCAGTAACTCGAGGCCAGTTCGCCCTTTGTGCTCAGCATGGTTCCTGGCACACGGGAAGCAGGAGCAGTTATTATATTGAGAATATACCATCCAGTGCCCCTTTGTGCCCTGAGGGGACCCAGAGGAAGTGGGAGGCACAGCCCAGCCCCCGAAGGCTTATATCTGGTGGGGAAGGTGTGAGTGACATCAGTGATACATTCAGAGGACACATCCCTGTCCTCTCCTATCCTGGGAGGCTGAGTTGCCGTCCCCCCGATGCCCAGGCAATCTCCCAGAACCCCTAGGGTCCCCGCCACAGTGCAGAGGATTTCCCAGGTGTGCCAAGGGCACCCGTCCTCCCTGGGCTCCGGAGCCCGTTGTTTACCTGGCACGTCTGCTTGCGTCCTCTCGCACCTACTTCCCCAGATGGCCAGGTTGGCGGTCAGGGAGACGTTCCTGGAGGCTCAGCAGGGGTGAAGGCCAGGGCAGGATCGGCCGCAGGGGTCGGGAGGGTATCCTCCCTCCACCCTCCTTTGTCCCTCCCAGCCCTGGAACTCAGTCCCCTGTCCGGCTTCAGCTACCCTTGCTGTCAGGCACCACACCGTACTGGGACCCATGTTCTGAGGCAAAGCCTGTTTCTGACACAGAGTGACCTCTACTGTTCTTGCCCAAGTTCAAGTTGCCCGGGTTGCCTTGCCTTCAGCGCCCGGACCGGGGCAAGTAAAAGTCTTGAGGATGCAGACTGCCTTCCCAGAGGCCTTTGCAATCGGGCTGTCTCGGTGCAAAGCAGGAGTCTGTCTCAGTACAGACTCAGTGCCTGGGTCTGCTATGAGCGCTTTCTGTGGCCTGAGTCCAGCCCCAGTCCCTGTAGGGGATGGGGGCGCTGGACTGTGGTCACTCTGGAGATGAGCAGGCTCAGGTCCCTGAGGCCACACCTCTGAAGGACAGTCCCGGCAGAAGGAAGAGGAACCCTGCTTTGTCCCAGCAATTCCTCCAACCGACTGTGCTACTCTGGGCCAGGGATTTCACATCTCTGGCCTCGGGCTCCTCGCTTGTAAGCAGGAGTGCCCATCGCCTGGCGTGACTGGGCAGATGCGGTGAGTGGTACATGACCAGGGCCTCTGGAAGTCGAGATACAGCAAGTCTTCGGTGGCTGTCTGGGGTGGTGGGGAGAAGCAGCAGCTCAGAATTCGGAGCTCCTGGTTCCCGCCCTGCTGTGTGGCTGTGGGCAAGACCCTGCCACTCTCTGGGCCTCAGCATCCCCAGGGCGAAAAAGGGGGCATCGGAGTTACCCTTCGCTGAGGAGCTTTGTTCTTTGAAGATTCTCTGAGCGGAACAGCCCATGGGAGTTCTGGGTGAGACAGGAAAGGGCTGGGGGCCGGGACTGAGCGCCCAAGTACTGGCTCAGCTCACAGACCAGAGACGCGTCCTTCCCAGCTGCTGTGGATGCCCTCTGCCCCCTGGACATTCATGATTCAGTGAGTCTGGGGGTGGGGGAGGCTGTCATTTAGGATCCCGTTGCATCCAAGGCAGATTGCCTGTTACCGTTAACCCTCAAGGCGCCGCCCCCAGGAGCCTAATTAAATTGTATCCCCCACTCAGCTGTGTCCATGTCCCTGTGTTCCTGCCATTGCCAGACCTACTCCAGGATTTAGGGCCAATTGCTTGTTTATCAGACCGTCTGTCTCAGGGATGAGGCCCAGCGGGCACAGCCAGAGAGCGAATGAGTCCTCCCCCTCAGCTTTGAACCTGCTGGCAGGAACCACTGTGATTCTGAGCAGCCTCCTCCCACCCTGATGAAGAAAAACATGGGTCTTCGGTCAGGCAAACCTGGCTGTCATTCCTGCTCGGAGACCTTCCGAGCCTGTTGGAGATTTAGTTTCCTCGTCTGTGGAAGGGAACGATGATCATAGCTATTTCGCAGAGCCTTCTGGAGGATCGAGGAAGACAGTTACAGGTGACTGCCGTGGCACAGTGCATTATCACCGGGGCCCAGTGAATGTTGGTCCTGCCCTGCCCTCCCCACACGGGCCTCCCAGCGCTAGGCTCCCCTGCTGGGCCGGGCTTGTTCATCGCCCCTGCTGGGCACACCCAGAGCACTGGGTCGATGGGCTGTTCACCCTTCTCTCCAGGTACCCGGCGATTGCTTCTCACCAGACTTGACGAGTCCTGGTCTCCGTGCCTTGGGTCAAGCCCAGGGCTGGCACTGGTAGGGGCCTGGCACCCACTGGAAGGAGGCGCCGCTTTCGCCTGCATCGGCTCCCCCTCTTCTCCAGTAGCCCTGGCAGGCCCAGGAGCTGAGGAGGGGGGTCCAGGTCTCACAGCTGGTCATGGCAGAGCCCCTGCTGATTGGACCCAGGGTTTTGGAGGTGAGGCCACTCCGCACCACAGCGCCCTCCCTTGGCCGGGGCGCGCACAGGACATTCCTCACACTATGGCGGCCGGGACCTACCTTTGCTTCCTCCGATGGGGCTTCTCCAAGGCTCATGCCCACTGGCCTCCTTCTCTCTCTCCAGGAGATGCCCAGGGGCTGGGGGCAGTGAACGCAGGAGTGATTGATGGACTGAGCTGTTCTTCTTGGGCAGAGGACCCCTCCCGGGCCCTCTGTGCAGATGGGACGGAGGCGCCATCTGGGGCGGTGGGAGGAGCAAGGCTGATAAAGCTGTCTGGCCCTGGCGGGCTGCGGAGCAGAGCCTGAGGCGAGGCGTGACCTCCCGCTCTGCCCGCTCCGGTCCTTCCGTCTGTCAAGGGTGGCAAGGGCCGTCCCCCAGAGGCCTCCGGCTGACGCGAGGGAGGATGCCGGCTGGCTCCCTGGGACTCTGCCTCTGCCTGATTCAGGGCCGAGCAGCACTGGGCTGGAGAGGTGGGGACCGAGGCGTAGCGCGAGCTCTCTCTGGGGTCCTCTCTGGTGCCGCGTCCACTGACGGGTGTCTTGTCAGGAGCTCTGGTTTGGAGTCCAAAAACTTGGGCCTGAATCATGATCATGTCTCACTAGCCATGTGGATAAGTCAGGCCAGTTCATTACATTCTCTGAGCCTCCCTTTCCTCATCTGTAAAATGGATAATGTTCCCACCTCCGAGGTGAGGAGTAAATAGAATGTAGGAGAAATGCTGTGTAGTAAACGCTTGATGCCATTAATTGTTAGGTTCGGTTATCACAAAACTTGACAAATGAATTTGAATTTGGGATCACTCAGGGGAAAGAAGTTTCTGTGCATCCTGAGCGGGCCGTATATCCGTGGTTCTCTCCCACACTCTCCTCCATTGGTAACTGGTGGCCGTGGTCGAGCATCCGCTTACTTCCGATCTGTGATGATGCTGGTGATCACAGCGGCCACAGCCACTGCACTTACAGGCTTCCCAGTGTTTCCATGCTACATCACTTCCTTTTACGTGTTTCATAGCATGAATTCCTACAACCACCTTTGACTTCCAAACTGAGAGTCCCAGTTTTCAGAGGAGAACCCAGCAACTCGGGGAGGAGAGTGACTTCCTAAGGGTCTCAAGGGAGCTGGCTAAGGCAGGTGCAGAAGCAGCGGGGACGGAGTGAGCATGGACTGGCGTGAACAGGAAGAAGGCGTCTGGGCTGGCACCTGAGACCCCGAAGTCCTCCCCATGGGGATGCCCACCGCAGCCCAAGCTCCCCGGGCCTCAGATTTTGCCTGGAGCTTGTCCTCTAGCTTAGTGGTTGAGCAGGACCTGGCTGTGGACTTTGCCACAAGTGTGGTGGAACGGGCTTCCCACCTGGGCCCGGGTGACTGCCGACACCAAGCCTTCCTCCACTGCGGGGGGCTGACTCTAAAGGACCCCTCTGGCAGATCCTTGTGCAGAGCTAAGGAACCCTTTCCAACCCCAGATTTCTCTCTCCTGGGAGACAGGGTTCCTGGGGAGGGGGTTTGATGAATAAGGCCCTGCCGGCACCCACTGTAGATGCCCAGGTAGCGTCCGGGTGCATGGGCCACCCACGCCCACTGTCTCCTCCCAGTTCAGTAGCCACATGCAGTATGACAGCGTAGATGTAGCCAAGCTAGAAACTGCAAGTTGTTTGAAGGCGTGGTTGCCACGCAGCCCCAGCACGGGCACCCAGAGCTGCCATCTGGGCGGAAGGCAGGCACCCATGCAGCCTCCGCAGCGAGGGGCCCAGGTGCTGAGGGTTTTTCATTAGCCCTAATGGGCCCAGATTAGCGAGGTACTTGCCCGGAGTGTCTGTCCGGAGGGCGGATTTTCATAAACAGCTTCTTGAACGTGGCTGTTCCTTAATGACTTCCTATAGTAATTGAATATTTTCTCTTACAGGACAAGCTGGGCCAGTGAAAGAAATATACAGCAGCCCCTCTGACCAAGAGACTCTGTCCTGCTGACGCCTGAAGAAGTGCCCAGGTGACAAGTCAGCAGTTGCTTCCCGGTTACTCTGGGCCCCTCTGCCCCACTCCCTGACATGCAGCCTCTCCCCCTCCATCCTTCCTGTCTGTCTCTTCCCCTGTCACTTCTTGCTGTCTCGCTCTTTTCCTGTCTTTCTCCATCTGTCTCTCCTTCGGACTTGTCTTTGTCTATTTCTCTGATTTGCTGATTCTCTATTGTCCTCTGTGTCTATTTTCTGTTTTCCCACCATTCATTCATCCATTCGTTCACTCGTTCATTCATTCAGACATATTAATTGGGGACCCAGCATGTGCCAGGCGCTGCTCTGGACATTGGGAACATGGCAGTGGACAAACAGGTCTATACCTTTATGAGGCATCCCTTCTAACAGCAGAGGATGTGTGCTACCAAAATAAAGAAGGAAAACATCGAGTTTGTAGAGTGTCCACGGGCACTGGCCTGGGCCCCAGGAAACAGTTCTGGGTTCAGGTCCCCACTAACTGGCTCTGTAGCTTGGCCAAACCCCTTTCCCTTTCTCAGCCTGTTTTCTCGTTTCCAAAGGGAGGGTGTTGGGCCGGAGCGGTGCTGCCCCGACTTTTTATGACCAGGAACTTCTTTCATTGAAGTTCTGGTGACATCAGTCACACAAGGGCTGGGCTCAAAACCAGCACCTACACAAACAGTAGTGTCAAATAAAAACTTCCCTTAAATCCCCTTAAAGCTCTTAAACACCTGCTTTTGTTATACAAGAAACCATCGATTCCATCTGGTGGGGGAGCCCTCCGCTTGGCCAGGAGCAGGGACGCTGAGACGGGAGCCCCGAGACCACGAGACCCACCCAGCAGGTCCAGGGCTCCCACCCGTGCTCACCCCGGAGCAGACACCGGAACACTGCACCCAAACCGCTCCCTGCACGCTTCCCCTGTGCACGTGGGGGGTTGCGTTCACACGGAGTCAAGTTCGCCTGCGATGCTGACTCCTGCATTTCATCCCTCTGAGCCCCAAGATTTAAAGGATTTGAGCTACCAAACAGAGCTGCCTTTACTAAGTCATTTTAGGCACATGTTCACGTTTCTCCTTGGCTGTTTTCTGCGAAGTCATACATACCTGGTGGCCAGAGCTTCTGAATAACCCGAGCAACGGGCCCCCGCCCTGGGGTGGTTTACTTGCTGTAAAACCCAAGACGTTTGCTTGGCCCGTGGTGAGGGGATGATTTCTGAGATGTTATTTGCTATCCTGAAAATAGCTTAAAGATATGGTTTGTCTCCGGGAACCCAGTTTGAGAACCGTTGCACACACTCCTTCTCCCTGCTCAGAAATCCTCCACGGCAGAGCCCTCACCCCCCCCCCCACCCCGACACAGAAAACGAGAGCGAAGGTAGTTGGTCAGCCCTGCAAGGGCAGGAGGGAGCCGCCCAGGGCTGGGCAGCGGGGAGGAAAGACGGGACAGAGCCGCCAGGTGTCAGGCGTGGCGTGAGGACCTCTACGTGTATTATCCGTCAGTCCTCAGTCCGTGCCATTTGCCGAGGAGGTCAGCGTCCCTGGCCCCGTTCTACAGATATAAAAGCAAAGGCCCAGAGAGGTCATGTCCTACGCGCGGCGAGCCAGGTCCAGTCTGACTCTGCAGTCCCCACCCACACTGATCCTCTCCCCTTGGGTTCCTGCAGGCTCCCGGAACAGGGACATCTCAGTGGGCCTTTCACCCCTGGCCCCAGAGCGGGCTTGCCATTTCCATGTAGCCAGGCCCCCAGTCTCCTTCATAAGTGCCTTTTGGACATTTTTTTGAGGCCATGGACCTCATGGCCTCAAGTGTCTTCTCGGCCTGCCTTCCAGAGCTTGTCTGTGTCCCCACTCTCCTTAGAGCTAAATTAGGGAACAGTGTGGTGCTGCTCATTTCCAAAAGGCTCTGTGGGTGGGTGGAGCTAAGAGCCAGATCCAGGTAGGGATTGGAAATTCCATGTGTCCGTCAATCTTGTCTGGTCAGTTGATTATAGAGGTGTGTCCCCATGATCAGAAGCCCCTTGTGGGGAGTGGAGCAGGCAGGCACTGGTCTTTTGACCAGCCTGGCAGTGGATACTGACCCAAGAGGCTGTTTCCCTGGATAGTGGGAGACAAATTGGCATAGGAGGTGTGAAGACAGGCCTGAATTTTGGAGGATGAATGAATGGGACAAGGAATTAGCATTCACTGAAAATGGTGGTTAAGAGTTGTGGCTCCAGATTAAGACACGCCTGGGTTCAAATCCTATCTTAGGCACTTCTGTGCTGTCTGATCTCAGATAAGTGAGTCCACCTCTCTGAGCTCAACCTCTCACCTGCAGAATGGAGATGACATTGCCTGTGTCCTGGAGCTTTATGAGGAAGGAGATTGTGCATGTTTCTTGGCACATAGGAAGAACTCAAGGTGTGCCAGCTGTTCCTAGCTGCTGCTGTTATTAGCTGCCGAGCCCTGTGCCAAGCCCTGTGCTCGGTTTTTTTCATGCATTATCAAGAAGGCATTGTTTTTATATTAATTCTAAAGACAGGAAAACTCAGTTGCATGCGGTTGGGGAACTTACCCCAGGCCACCCGCTAAGCCTGCCGGATCTGGGTGTGATCCACTGTCCGGCACGATGACACCTTGTAGTCACTCAGCCTGCCCTGGAGCTGGAACCCAGGTCCCTGCATCTCCAGCCACCTTCCAGCTCACATCATCTGTTTTTCTACCTACCTCACTTTTGAGGTTGCCAAAGGCTCTTCCCCGGAGACACGTGTCCTTTTATTGCATTTGTCTGGGAGCTCAGCTCTCCACAAGCCGCCGCCCGTTCAGTGTAATCTCTAATGAATGTGGGACAATAAATTCAGGTAGGCCATTTATGAGCTGCCATATTTATTATGCCCCTTAACTGCTAAATTGCTAGAGCCCACTGAAAACTGGGTCCTACCCTGGAGAGCAGCTTGGCCTGGTGGGCAGAGGCGGGGGAGACTCCAGAGCCTGGCCCAGCAGACTTCTCAGCATCTCCCTGGAGCAGACCCGTCTGTCCTCCAGAGCCCGTCCAAATCTGAGCCCGACGGAGGAAGAGCCTGGGCTGGGGGGTGATGGTCAAGATGTTGAACACCTGGTGGGCACTAGCATGGGCCAGTCAGAAGAGATGCCAGCCCGACAGCAGGCCAGCCAGACCCCTAGGTTCCCACTGACCTCCAGGAAGACAGGGCTTGGAACAAGAGCAAAGGAGGGTCTCCTGGTCCCACCCACCTCCTCTCATGAAGAATGCGTGAGGACATTCAGTAATGAGTATGAACACGTCTTCTGCACCTTGGGGTCTGACTGGTGGTAGCAGATGCTTCTCCCGGGGATGGGGAAGGGCTGCCTCTCATTGGCTTCAAGCCCCAGCGCCTGGTTTCCAGTTGGTGTGCAGTCAGTGTTGGCCGAGTAGAACTGTATTTAGTGACTTGCTCCCATGAGCACACTTTCAGGGAGGGACAGGGAAGGCTCCTGGGGGAGCTGGGGTGCTGGAGGCAGTCAGGGCATGGGGAGGGCCTGGCCCCAGGTGTGGGTCTTGTGCCCCCAGCTAGGGGCCCTCACCTCTTTTCCCTGCAGCAACCCCCTCACTGGCAGTCCTGCAGGCTGGAGGGCGTAGATGGTGTGGGAATTTTGTCAGGCCTGGGTTCTGATCCTGACTCCTGACCGTGGCGAGTCTCTCAAGGCTTTGAGCCTAAGTTGCTCATCTACCAATAGGAAGGCTCACCTCAGCAATCAAATGACATCATCACGTAGGGTGGATGAGCCCCGGCCACGTGCTGGGCGTCATGCTGAGCGTGTTACTGCATTATTTCAATTCATCCTCACAACAGCGCTTGGGAGGAAGCTCCTGTTTTTAATCTCCATTTTCAAGTTGGAGAGAGCAAGATCCAGGGAGGTGAAGTAACTGAACCAAGGCCACACAGCAAATGAATGGTAGGCAGGGGTCTAACGGAGGCATGCTTGTCCCAGGTTCTCACTCCTAACTCTGGCCCACGGGGCAAGGGGCCGTCCTTGGGAGAGGAAGTTGTTACCAGCTCCCCTCGTCCCCCTTCCACTACGAGGGCAGGCTGGCAGCTGGCCCCCTACGCCGCCCTGGGGGAGAGGGGAGCAGGGATTTTTCAGGGTGGGGTCCCCCAGCGGGAGGACTGAGGAGCCTTGCTGTTTTGTAGGTGGAGCATCATGGAAGGCGACTGTCTGAGCTGCATGAAGTACCTGATGTTTGTTTTCAATTTCTTCATATTTGTAAGTATCCGTGGAACCTGCCTGGGGTCTCCTTAGGCCTCTGCTGAGTGGGCAGAGCCGATACTGATTGGAAATGGTCACAGTGGGCTGAGCCCCAGGGGCGGGACAGGGGCCAGTGTGAGAGGCAGATGTACCTGCCCAGCCAGGATTTCCCGGGTGGGAGGTCCCAGCAGCGCCCACCCCACTCCAAAGAGCCCACCGCCTAGGAGACACATTTTGCACGGACCCGGAATGGTCCAGCTTCTCTGACAAAGGGTGAGGGCCTCAATCCTGCCTTGGGATCTGAGCCCTGGTGGGGATTGGGGGAAAGGAGGCAAAGGGGGTGATCGGAGGGCAGCAGAGGGAGCCCCACCTAGCCCTGCCACCCAGAGCTTAATAGAGGTCAGAGCGGGGGGGGAAATTGACAGAAGTAGAAACCTCTCTGGAATTGGGAGACCTGGATTCCAAACCATGCCTTGCATCTTACCAGCTATGTGGTCTGAAACATACTTCACCTCTCTGAGCCTCAGTACCTTCATCCCTTCATTACCAACCTCAACAGGTTTTTTTGAAAATTAAGCAAGATTGAGTGCCTGCAATACGTCAGCACTTCCTAGCTGAGCCCCATCCCCACCCATGGATTCCCCCCATGAGGGACGGAGCCCCGCGTGCCCAGGTGGCCAGCCCAGCACCCGGCAGCACAGCCACCTGCTGGCCACCACTGGGGGCTCCGCTCCGGCTGCTGGCCCTTCCCGGGAGACAGCCGCACACCTGGCCCCTGACGGCTTTCCTGACCCCACTTGAACCTTTGACCTTAGTGCAGCCAAGACCTGGATGGATGAATAAACATCCACTAACGTCCTGCAAGTTAGGGTTGCTATGGAAAAGAGGCCCCTTTCTGGTCAAAGCTCACGCTGTCTCTCTCCATCTATTGTTTCTACATCTCAGCCAGTGTCCCGGATTCCCTCCCCCGCCCCATAGCTCTGAAGAGCAGGGAGCCCGACAGGCTTCAATGCTAGACCCAAGTTCCAAGCTGGGTGACCCCGGGCAAAGTCCAGTGTCCCCCTGAAGTGGGGCTGGTCACCTGGGCAGCTCAGTGCATGCTCACGCCCCCCCTTGCCGCAGACCTCAGCACAGTAGCTCACCCCAAACCTGCACCAGCCCCGAGGAGGGGCGCAGGCTGTGCTGGAGGTTGGTCGGAGACCAGTGACAGGAAAAATTGTAGCCTCTGTCGTTGGCGTCCCTTTCCCTCTCCCCTCTGCCCGGGTCCCTCAGCCCTCTCCACCCCTCCCCCATCTCAACTGTGTGTAAAATATCGTCTCCTGCCCCGAACTGTGCAGCTCTTCCCCGCGGCGTGCAGACCCCTCTCAGCCGAGCCAGAGCGCAGCAGTTTGCTCTCAGCTACCATCTGTCATTCCTCAGGTCCTCCCACCACACGGGGACTTCAAACACTTTACAGCCTTCAAAATCCAGCGATGCCAAACTGGCTCTCCGGCAGCTGATCTGCTTCCAATACTTGTGTGTGCCCAGGACAAATGGAATAGATATTTATTGAAACCTGCTAAGTGCATTCACATCCATTCTGTCCTTTCTTCCTCAGGGCCACCTTGGGAGGTGGGATTTTTTGCAACCACGAGGAAGCTAAAGTTCAGACAGGTTAAGCCACTTACCCAAGGTCACACAGCTAATAAGTACCACAGTCCTTTCTCTGGTCTAAGCTGCCTCTCTCCAAAGATGAGCAAGGCATGGAGAGATGGGCCACACAGATGAAGACATAAACACGAAGGCTTATGAGGTGCAGATTTGAGAGTGGGGAGCCCAACCTGACAGAGCTCCTGCTGGGGACAGAGCAGATGGCTTTTGTCTGCTTTCCTGTCCCTGGCAGGGCGGGCACAGTGCAGGTGTCGGGGCATGTTCATGCCGTTTGGTGAGGGTCCTTGGGGCTGGGGTCAGGGAGGCCAGGGTTCTGCCTTGAACTTGCTGTGTGACCTTCAGCAAGTCATTGGCCCCCTCTGGGGCTCTGTGGAATGCGAGGGTTGGACAAGATGACCTCGTTATCCTGCAGCTCTGACACGGGAGGAGAATTTTAAAGTAGCGAATAAACTCCACATGACATGGTTCCCAGCAGGCCAAGGGGCTCCTGGGTCGGAGGCTGGGTTGAGATGGTGCGCGCTGCTCTGAAGGTCAGAGCAGGTGGGAAGACGCGAAGCGGAGAGAACCGGTGCCGGGACCTGCAGCAGGTGGAGTTCCTCCAGCTCACCAGGGCTCCCCGCCTCTGCCCGGCCTCGCTCAGGGGCCGTGCGTGTGGAGTATCTAACCTCTAACCTCTGTTTCTCCCCCCGCCTCCTGACTGGACCGGCGAGCAGCTGGGTGGGGCCTGCCTGCTGGGCATTGGCACCTGGGTCATGGTGGACCCCACTGGCTTCCGAGAGATCGTGGCTGCCAACCCCTTGCTCATCACGGGCGTCTACATCCTCCTGGCCATGGGGGGCCTGCTCTTCCTGCTTGGCTTCCTCGGCTGCTGCGGGGCTGTCCGGGAGAACAGGTGTCTGCTGCTGCTCGTGAGTATCCATCCCCCACCACGGCTGCCCCGGGTGGGCGGTGGCCCTGTGCCTGCACTGCAGGGCCTCACGCTGAGGTCCGAGCCCAGTAGGCTGTCCTCCTGGAGTGGGGGGGCCACAAGCCTTTCCCATCTGGACTTGCAGCCCCAGCCTCCGGAGCCTGCTCGTTGCGCGGGGCCCTCGCCTGTCACGTGGGCAAGCTGCCCCGGCGTGAGAGCGGCCTTGGCCTCCAGGTCTGAACAGCCAGGCTTCCCCACGGCGCGGTCAGCTGAGGGCGTTGACCGTGATGCTTATCTACTTGCTTGCTTTTAATAACTCAACTATATAATTCCTTCCGTGGTAAGAGATCTCAGATAGCTAGCTATTGGATAAATCATTCACCTTCTGCATTTCCAGTTCTAAAACAGAAATGATATCATCTCTGAAGGTCCTTTACTTATTAAATAAATAGTCCTTGGACGCTGCTATGGGCCACATAGTTCAATAGGTGCTGAAGATGCCATTAGGGGCCGAGAGTGGCTGCCCCCTCCCTCATGGACAAGCATCGGGGTGCTGAGCCTGTCAGGATGGGCCGGGCAGCAGGCAGACCTAGTTTGAGTGTGTGCCCTGCTCTGTCGCCTAACTAATGCTATGACTCTCGTCTGGTTTCATAATCTCTCTGAGCCTCAGTGTCTCTGCTTGTCAAGCAAGGATCTGAGCAGCTCAGCTGTAGGTGGGAGCCAGAGGAGGTAAGGGGTAGATGCTGTTTTTCTGGGCTGTTGTATTGCCATGAGCTGTGGTCCTTTGGGCTTCTGCTGACCTTCCTGGCCTTGGTGGATGGGCCTTCTGCCCCTGCGGGGTCCGGTGGGCCCCAAGGGCTACGAGAACTTGTGGGTTGAGCCCAGTCCTACTGTGGGTTAAGTTAAAAACAGCCCTGCTTAGAGAAGTGTGCGTGTGGATGGGTGAGTGGGTGGGTGGCGAGTAAAGCAACAGGAAGAGCTGGGCTGGTCATCAGGAGGACTTCCTCGCTGGACTCTGTCTGCTCTGGCTGTGAGCCAGCACCCCGCCCACTGGGAGGCAGAGATCTGGCATTGTGCCTCCTCCCCAGATTAGGACACACTGTGTGGCCCCCACTGAGTCACAGTGAGACGCCCCACATCACAGGGAGAAAGTGAAATCAGCTGTGAAATGTGTGACAATGGAGCCTTGGGTCCCTTTGGCCTTCAGCCACGTATACAAGGCAAACTTTTCATTGGCAGAGAAACAAAGAAAACTGTGGGCGCCCCCTGGTGGAAAGCTCTCTGCAGTGTCAGGCGGTGCAGGGGAGATCCTGGCTTCCGGAGCCCCAGAGGACTTTAAAAAGGAACTGGGTATGGGTCCCAGGACACACTGAACCATCCTGCAGTCCCCCCACACCCCAGCCCCCAGGGCTCATCCACTGTTAATGGGCTCATCTCAGAAGCCAAGACAGGAAGCCAGGCTGGGCTCTGGGCTGGGGAGGCAGCGGGCTGAGTGGCTCCCTCTGAGCCTGCCAGCTGGACGGGACATCGCTGTCCTCAGTGTTTAGGAGGAGACGGGGGCCCAGGAAGAGGTTTGCCCCAAGCCCCCAGAGAGGGAGTTAAGTCATGGCCGTGGCTGGGTTCAGCCCACCGAACCTCAAAGCAGCTGCCCCTTCCTTCCTACCCTTCCCTTTTCCTCCCTTTCCCTCCCTTTTGTCTCTCTAGTCTCTTCTCTCTGTTGCTCGCTTGCTTGCTCGCTCTTCCTCTCTCTATCTCTCTGTCTCTGCCTTTCTCGTCATCTCTTGGTTTCTGTTCCTGCTGCCTTATCCCTCTCGGTGTGATCCTCCCCCGTCCTGTTTCCCTGCCTCTTTCTCTCTGCTCCCCCTGCGTTCCCTCTCCTCCCCTGTCCTCTCCTCTTCCTCCCCTCTTCTCCCCTCCCCTTTCTGATGCCCAGCTGAGGTCACAGTGCAGGTCAAAGGCAGGGGACCCTTGGGCCCAGGTCTCCTGTCTCTCAGACCGGGGCTGGTCCACGGGCTCCTATCCTGGTGTGGACTCAAGGGGTCAAAAACTCAGCTGAAATTATGCGTGAAATGTTATGTCGGGGCCTGCAAGCGTGTGTCTGTATGCATGTTGCGTGTGCCAGTATGCATGCTGTGTATGTGTGTGTGTGTGTTGTGTGCACATGCGTGTTCTGGGGAGAGACACCACAGCTCCTGGAAGGTTTGCAAAGACTCATGACCTAAGAAATAAGAACCACTTTCTCTTCTAACCTGGACCTGGCCGTGTGGGGGTCCCAGCTGAAGAGGGGCGCTGTGTTTCACGCTGGTAGATGCTGGGGTCCTCAGGGAGGCCTGGGAGCGCTTCTCGGCCTGCGGGCGGGAAGGAAAACTTGAGAGGAGCCCAGAAGGAGCACGTTAGCCTCCTCCGGAGCCCTGGCTCAGAAGCCAGCAGAAAAGGGGGGCTGGGGGTGGAGGTTCACTGAGCATTCCCTCCTCCTTTCTCCGAGGCTAAGACCCACAGGTCCCAGTGCCCAGGACAGCGAGCCCAATGACCACATCGCCTAATGATCAATTTTTCTAAAGATACAGTATTCAGACACTCCTGCTGATCCATTTCACAGTGTTTTCACATAGCATAGGTCAGTTTCAGTCTCTCATTGACCCTTTGTGGCATCCCTTTTTCCTGGTTGCTTACCTCTGAGTAGGTCAAGGAATTTGTTTGGCTCATTTACTTATTTATTTTAAAATATTTTTTAATGCTTTTTTAGAGAGAGAGGAAGGGAGAGAGAGATAGAAACACTGATGTGAGAGACAAACATGGATCGGCTGCCTCCTGCCCGCCCCCTTCTGGGCACCGAGCTCACAACTGGGGCATGTGCCCTGACCCAGAATCAAACCGGGACCTCTCAGTCCACGGGACAACGCTCAATCCACTGAGCCACACCGGCCGGGTTTGGCCCATTTATTTGACTCAAAATTTTAAAAACATTTTGTAACAAAGCATGCTACATTGAAAAGAGAACAGCAAAAAGAGATGCATTTAAAAGAGATAAATGAGCTGAGTGGCACATGAAGTATGTAAGTTCGGTAAATGTTTATCAGAAATGAGAACTGAAAGCAGACGTGCCCGTAGGCAGATGGGTTAGAAGAGTCGGGAAATGCTCACTATTAGGCAAAATAGCAGTTTCCTTTGGTAGTTTTCCTGTCCTGTGCACGATGTTGTCGATCTGATTCTCGGGCACATGTGTCCGTGGGCAGATGGATTGAGGTTAGATGAACCCAAGGCGAACAAACCCCCCAATTAGGGGAAGCCCCAGGAAGTAGCCAGACAAGCCCTGTGGCTGGAGCCAGGGGGATCCCCTCCAGATGACCAGTGGTACCCCTGACAAGCAGGAGGAAGTCATTTCAGGCTGGAGAAGGCAAGCTGGCCAAAGTAGCAGCGTTGTGATGTTGGCACAGCCTGGCACTGTCCTTCAGGTGGCTCTCACACACACGCAGGTCACCCCTTGGTGCCCATGCTGGGGCACCCCTGCTCCGGGCAGGAGCAATGGCAGGCTGGTCTGCAGACCCCTTGCTCTGGGGAGACCCCATTTCCCTGGCAATCACTTACCAGGTCCATTCTTTAATTTCATCTCATGAATTTCATCTCTTGAAGTATGAAACTCTGCTCAGTATAGACTTCACAAGGACGGAGACTGCCTCTGCCTTGTGTATTGGTTTGCCGTGACCTGGCACAGTGCCTGGCACAGAGTAGGTGCTCGGAGAACAGCCCTGGCGCGAGGGAACGAGAGAAGGCTGTGAGGAACGTGGGCTCTGGGTCAGAAGAGCCCGCCTCTGATCCCTGCGCTGCACGCCAGGGTGTGACCTGGGCTGGTTGCTTAGCCTCTCCGAACCTCTGGTCCCTTCCACATAAGGGAAGATTACACTACTTCCTTCCCATAATCTGCTTTGCTCTGTTCCGGGCATATGTAAACTCTCGATAAGTGGAAAACTGAAGGGACCGGTGTTGCCCACCAGGGACCTTACAGGCCACTGGAAAGTCCGAAGACCTGGACGCGCTTGTGGGATCCGGGATAGCTTGGTGTCAGGCCATCCACCTCCAGGAGCCCGCCGGGGAGAGAGGCCAGGAGACCGCATCACAGCCTGAGGGCCAGCCCGCGTGGGGGAAGGGCGAGGGGGTGTTGGGGTGCGCTGCGGGGTTGTGGCCAGGGCACAGGAGGCCTCTGTCACAGTCCCCTCTGGTCGGGGAACTCTGCCCCACCCTGAGCTCAGCCCACGGTCACCCCGCACAGCCGACCCCAGCAGGACCGGTGGGAAGCAGACCCAGGCCGGCATTTGCTGACAGCCGCCCGTCCTGAGCCGCGCGGGAGAGGCAGGGAGCACGGCCCTGAGAGGAGCTGGTGAGGACCCAGCTCGGGCGGTCACCCCGTCCCGGGTCCTTCCCGCGCTGTGGGGACGGGCCGAACGGGGTGCGGGCCGGTGTGGCGCCCAGTGCTGCCAGCACCTGGAGGAGGCCGGAGCCCTGCTGTCGGCAGCTTCACCCCGGGAGACCCCGTGGCCAGGACCGCAGTGTGCTGGCTGCTCCGTGAGCGGGGCGGCTTCTTTCGTTGGACATTTAAGAGGGAAAACAAACCGTGGGACAGGCCTAGATGTTCTCGTGCCCACGTCCTGAGTGGGTCCTTTCGAAATCCATCCCGAGAGTCTGCGAAGGTGGCGTGTAGCCCAGGCAGTGTGGGGGAACCTCGGGGCCTCCACCGGGCAGCCGCCTTCAGGGGTCTTCCCGGGATGAGGGTGAAGTGACAGAAAGCTGCCGCTGACTGGGAGAAACCCGAGCCAGGAGAGACACCAGGATGGTGTCGGCCCACGAGAGTGTCTGAGGACGCGGCCAGCGTCCCCGGAGCCGGGCTCACTGAGCTGGCTTCCGCCCCGTCTATGCCTGGGAGAGCCCCACGACGAGCTTGGCTCAGCCTCTCACATGCGTCCCTTACCTTACTGTTCCCTCACGTGACCCCAGAAGTGGGAGTTACACCCTCATTTTACCGATGAGGAAACTGAGGCTGGAAGGGATTTAGTGATTGTCTAAAGTCCCATAAAGCAAGGCAAGGCGGGCAGAGGTGTCTGACCCTCAGCCCAGGACCCTTGCTTCCCTCCAGCCTGGGCACATGCAGCGTAGCCCGGTGGCTCTGGGGACTGTGATCCAAGGGAGCAGGCAGCTGCCGAGGCGGCTGGGAGGGTGTGTGCACCGGGGACTCAGTCCTCTGCTGGTGGTCTCAGGCGGGGTGACACTCTGGGATTGTCACAGACTACGTGCCAGAGGCACCAGCAGCGCTGAGTGATGACATCGCCATTTCCTTTCTTCTGCTAACAGCTCTGAGCCCAAAACAGTGCCCATGACGACCAGGGCCTGAGCTGTAGTGGACAGCAGGTCATGGTGGCGAGTCGGTCACTCCTGGCTTCATTCATTCATCAGAGAGCCACGGACTGATGTCCGTGCCGTCCAGGCGTGGGGAAAGCATGCTAAGTGGTAGCCTCTGTGCTTGATTAGGGACCCAGTGGGGACAGCAGCTGGGTAAGGACACCTTTGCGGGGCACTGTGATGTGGGGGAGCCAGGAAAGGCTTCTCAACAGGAGAGTGGATGGGCTAAACCCGGTCTGAAAACGGAGGGGCTGGTGGGTGAGGAGGGCCGTGGCCTTCCTGGCAGAGGGGCCGGAGACAAGAGGCCTCGTGGTCGACTTGGGAGCATCAGGAAATGCAGTGAGAGGGGCAGAGCGTGTTCTGTTAGAGTTTAAACTCCAGCCCCTGGGTTTTCACGTTGTGATAGACACGCCGCCTTCCCTCGGCCCAGCTCCTTCACTGCAACCGAAGATCGAGGTCCCTGCCCACTTCCCGTGGGAATGAGCTGCAGCAGGGAGGGTCGCCCGGGCGGGTGGGGGGAAGCCAGGAGCCCCACCTCCTGGACAGTCTTCCAGGTGCGGCTGCTCAGACAACACCGCGCACGGGGCCTCAGCTAAGGGGTGCCGTTGGCACAGAAGGCTTTCTCTTTGTTTACTTTTTCCATATTTGCATTACAACCTTGTTGGTTCCAAAGACGGATTGTTGGTATGTTCATTATGAGAAGTGTCTGGATAATGGCAGTGAAGTTCCTTGTTTCACAGAATCCGTGCGTCGCGTCAATTGTGTCACAGGTGGAGGGGAGCTTTGGGAGCAGAGTCCCCTCGCCGCCAGCCCTCAGGACTCACGAGCCTGCCCTTTGTCTCTGCAGTTCTTCCTGTTCATCCTGATCATCTTCTTGGCGGAGCTCTCGGCGGCCATCCTGGCCTTTATCTTCAGGGAAAATGTACGTACCCCTGTACCCCAGCGCCCTGCCTCCGGCGAGGGATCGGTGGCCGTGATGGCCGGCCTGTCCCAGCCTCAGAGGGAGAGTCAGCAGCCTCTCATCCAGCACTTTCAGCCCAAATGATGACCCAGCAAGTCTCTTCTGTAGGAGGGCTTTTCCAGAAGTCAGCGCCGGGGGCCCTTAAGGGTCTTGCTTTTCCAGAAGCATCTAGTGCAGTCACACACCTGACTCTGGAGGTGTCCGTTCCACAGCTGGTGCGATCGCACACCTGACTCTGAAGGTTCCACAGCTGGTGCGATCACACACCTGACTCTGGAGGTGTCCGTTCCACAGCTGGTGCGATCGCACACCTGACTCTGGAGGTGTCCGTTCCACAGCTGGTGCGATCGCACACCTGACTCTGGAGGTTCCACAGCTGGTGCGATCACACACCTGACTCTGGAGGTGTCTGTTCCACACCTTGCCAGGCGATGGCACAGCACTAGCCGTCGGCAGTCTGGGGGTAGGCAGGGAGGCTGTCCCCTGAGCCCTGGAATGTGTGACTGCGGGAGAACGGAGTGCGGCACTATCAGCTGAGGCCCTGGCCAGTGTCCAGTTTGGGCCACCTGCCCCTCAGGCCATCTTCTTCCAGGGGCTCCCAGCCACCCGAGCACCAGCTCCCTCCCGAGTCTCAAGAGCCAGGCCCCAGCCCCCGGTGGCCTGGAAGCAAAGAGAAGCAGGAGCCCAGGGAGGGCAGGAGACGCAGGCTGGCCCTGGGGGTGAGCAGGGCAGCTGTCGCCCAGAAGGGAGGGGTCGGCAGCCGCCGTGAGCAGAGAAAGGTGCTAGAGGGTCGGTCTCTGCTGGCACCACCCAGGGTCCCAGCCTCTCTCTGCAGCAGCAGGAGGGTGGTGACCTCTGCAGAATGTTCTGAGGGAAGGAGTCGCTTCCAGGAGCATCCCTGGAAACGAGACGTACACAGACTGCCTGCTCCGTAGCGTGGTTTCTTCACTGCCACCCAGGCATCGCTAGCTCTGTCTGAGGAACAGCCTGGTGTGGAGGGGCAGCCCCGCCCTGGGTTAGCGCCCCCCGCGCCCCGAGAAGAGCAGGGCACGAGGCTGCCAGCATGCCCTGGCCTCCGGTGCTGAGGGGCATGTGAAGGCTTTTCATGTGAGCAACCCCATGGTTTGGGGGAGGCCACAGCCTTGAGGGAGGGTCAGAGACCCGCCCCGAGCTTAGGAGAAGGCCCTGGGGCCTTCCCTGCTCCCCGGAGATGACAGATGGCGAGGCCAGGGAGGGCGGGGGCAGCACCAAGCCAGGGGTCTCAGCTCACCTCTCCCTCTGCCTCCAGCTCACACGTGAGTTCTTCACCAAGGAGCTCACCAAGCACTATCAGGGCGACAACGACACAGACGTCTTTTCCGCCACCTGGAACTCGGTCATGATCACAGTGAGTGACCCCCCTGCACACCCAGGAATGCCGTGATTCCCCGTGTTGCAAATGTCTGGCCTCCAGAGACCCCTCTGCCCGTGTGCTGGTAGTAGACCAGGGCACTGTGCCCCCAGCCCAGACCCACCTCGGAATCGCAACCACACAGCGTTCCCGGCAGCGAGTGCCCCTCAGTCACAGTCCGCACTCCAGATGAAACCTGTTCGCCATCCCAGACTTGAATCCTCAAGCAGTTGTCACCATCAGTGATGACAGCAGTCATAGCAACTGTGTACTGAGTGCCGACTGTGAGGCGGGGATTGTCACCACTGCCCCCATTCACAGATGGGGACACTGAAGGTTCAGAGAAGCCGAGTGACTTTCCCAGGTCACACAGGTGGAGTGAGCGGGGCCAGCCCACACGGGGTCCCGACTCCGTTCCATCACGCTTCCTGTCTGTGCCCTTCGGAGAGGCTGCCCGTCCACCCTGCCCCGCAGGCCCAGCTCCCCAGACCCTCCCCTTTGCTCTCCTAGTTCGGTTGCTGTGGGGTCAACGGGCCCGAAGACTTCAAGTTTGCATCCGTTTTTCGACTCCTGACTTTGGATAGCGACGAGGTCCCCGAGGCGTGCTGCCGGAGAGAACCCCAGACGCTGGACGGGGTGCTGCTGAGCAGGGAGGAGTGCCTCCTGGGCAGGGACCCGTTCGTGAACAAGCAGGTACACTGCCCCCCAGTGCTGCCCCAGAGGGCCCGGAGGCACCCAGGGTCCCAGCGGACTGCTGGCCACGGTCTGGGACGTGGAGGCTAGTGGAGCTCCTTCCCGGCCCTGAGATCCAGCCCGAGGGGCTGACTGGCAGATGGCTCGGTGCCGCGCAGCCCGGAGGAGTGGCGTTGTGGCTGGGGCTACAGGGTGGGTGGGGGTTCCAGGCTGCGCAGAGCACTCCTTGAGCTCCTTGTACTGTGGGGTGGGAGCCAGAACTAGAATCACACAGCGGGGGCCCCTCCTCGGCCACGCGCTCTGGTTTGGAGGAAGCTCACATTGGCCGTGTGGGGAACAAGGGAATGAAGTTGGGGAAGCTGCCAGACTTCTTTGCTTCTAGGGCTTCATCTCAGTCTCAGAAGAATTTCTTTCCCTTCCTGTGTGACACAAGGTCCCCCACCCCTCAGTGTGTGGGGGACCAGAGGGAGGGGGCAGAAGGAGGGTGGACTGAGCCCGGTCCCCTGGCCTCTCGCTGGATCAGGCCTGTAATGAGAATCTCACGGGTCAACTCCAGACACCAGGGACCTCCAGGGGGCGGGAGCCGAGGCCTCTGTTCCTCGTGGTTTAATTAGAGGAAGCAGAAGATAAAACAAGCAGCAAAAGTGATCATTTCACGTGGCGACAGTTACTACTAAGAAAGTGAGACCAGGTTTCTGGCTAGAAGGGACTGGTTAGAGGGCTCAAGGTAGGCCTCAGAGTCCCAGGGGAGGGAACAGTTGCGCTGAGGCGACACTGGCCATCTAGCGAGTCTCTTTCCAGCCTCAGCTTTGTCTCACTCACTCAGCACCGCCATCCCCTGAACCTGCTCGTGTCATGTCAGTGGGTACACAAGGCCCCAGAGTCAAGTTCTTCTGCCCTCACAGTCCTGCCCTCCTGCACCGAGGGGGAGAGACGGGGGCCCTGGGATCGGGCAGCTGCAGAATTGGGGAGGGTGGGCCACCCAGGGGTGGCATTTCTGCTCTGAGGATAGGCTGCAGGACATGGAGCACTTCCATACGGTGATGTCAGCCTGACCTGGCTGTTAACCACTGTCACCTTGGCCAGGATACATTCTCCAGACCTCAGATCCCCTCCACTCACCCCTTCCTCCTTGGAAAGGGGCTTCATAAGACCTCATGACCACCAGGTGAAGGCTGCCCTTCCCAGCCTCCCTTGCAGCTAGGCCATGTGACCAACTTGTAGCCAAAGGGCGGAAAGATGTGATTTGTGCAACTGGGTCACATCCTTAAGAGAAAGCAGGTGCCCAAACCCCCTCCCCCTGGCTGGAATGCAGCTGTGGTGACAGCCACCTCTGACCTTGCAGAGGAGGGCGGCCCCCTAGGATGTCAGAGTATCAAGAGAGAAGGAGCCTGGCTGTGGACAGCTCCATGGAGCAGAGTCACCACCACACTCAGGATTTGATAGGAAAGAACAACTTCTAAGTTGCTCAGGAAGCCTCTGTTGGGAGTGGCTGAGGCGCGTAGCCAAACCTGTATCCTCAGCCACTTGTAAAGTGTTCTGGGAGGCTCTTCATGGGCCCTGGTCCTTCAGGGCTTCGTCCTGACATGCTTCCCATTTGTGATTCAAACTTGTGATGATGCCTCCTTCCATCTCTGGGCATGGCTCTGATGTCTCAGCAGAGAGGAGAGGTCCCTGGGCAGCTGTGTGAGTTCTTCCTCTGCTCCTTCTGAGGATTACTGGGATTCACTTCTGGGACTCCTTGCTGAGACACTCACGTCCCTCCTGAGCATCCTTCCTTTTTAAAAGTCTCTGTCGAGGGACTATCTATTTGTTTTTTCTGCAAAACCGAATTCCCTAAAGCCCAGGATGCATTTCTGCATTTCTGACTTGGCCTTATCTCTGCATCATAAGCCAGCAACACTTTTGATTGCAAGTAACTAAAATCCCAACTAAAGGAGCTCAGCAGATACCTTTGTGTTTCACACGTGGCAAGAATTCTAGAAGACTGTGGCCTCTCACACTGTATCAGTGGCTGTGTCAGGTCAAGCAAGGCCTGGTCTCTGTGGCCTGTTCTTGTGTTTACCACTTCATGATGGCAAAATGGCTGCCATGGCTCCAGACATCCCACCCATGTTCAAGGTGGGAGAAGGGGAAAGGGTGGCACCATCTTTTTTCCCTGAAACCTCTAGTTGACTTTTGCTTAGGTTCCACTGGCTAGGACTTGGTCACATGGCCACCAGGAGACAAGGCAAAGGGCTCTTGTCTACTGGTGTTTGAGTTAGTCCACCAGCCCTATTTACCACTGAACTCCAATGAAGGGAAATCAGGAAATCGCAAAAAAGGTAACTCAGGATGAATACCTCGACTCCCCAATATGATTCGAACCCATGTGGCAGTTTCTCCAGCTCATTCCTCAGCCTTCCTTGGGTCAATACAGTTACCCAAGAGAGTCAGGAGCGTGTTCTGCTGGAAACAAATCAGGGGTCTCTCAATAGATGGTGACCTTGCTAGACCTTGACTCCGGGTCAGTGTGGTGACTGATAGAAAACCGTCTGTATTCTCCATTTGTCCAGATTATCTTAAGTCCTCTCTCCCCACAGCATCACTGTTTCTCTACGTTATTTCCTCTCTACCACTGTTCCCCATCTGCTCTGTGGTAGGTTGTGAGTGTGGGTGCTGCTGTGAATCTCAAATAAAGTGTTACAGCCTCATCCTCCTGGAAAGGGAAAAGCGATGCAACCAGAAAGCAAGAGCAGCAGCACGTGCAAAGGCCCTGGGCTGAGCTGGAGCATGGTGAACAGGGCAAGACTAGCCAACGTGAGGGCATCAGCAGGCCCACACCATGCAGGGCCAGCAGGGCCATGGTGAGGATGCTAGAAGAAGAGTGGAAACCCATGCCCAGTTCTGCCTGGGGCTGGGGGAACCTGGGTGTGATGGCGTTCCGGCTGCCCACTGGCCAAGGATTAGAGGAGGAATTGTTACACCGGCTCCATTGAGAAGCGATGATGGCTCAGACCAGGGTGATGGCAGTGGAGATGCAGAGAGGTGTATGGATCTGAGGAATGATTCAGGAGGTCACATCTACTGCCCCTGGTGGTAGGTTGACTTTGAGGAAGGGAGGATGAGGTGTTGAGGAGACTCCATAGGTCCTGGTTTGGGGACGGCCTTGGATCTGGTTTTGGATGTGTGGGGGGTGCGGAGCCTTTGGGATGTCCCAGCTCAGGGGAAGGTCCATGCTGGAGGAAAACATGGGTATTCTCTGGCACCTCTGGCCTAGCTGCTCTTTGCCAGATTAGGTTAGAGGGGCAACTATGGTCCGCCTTGGGTGGGGGACATCCCCTCCCTGCAGAGAGGGGTCACGGGAGATGGTGACAGCAGCGTGGTTGGGGACCAGCAGTCTGGTGAGGCTGAGGCTGGGACAGATGGCACCCTGCAGTGTCTCACTGAGCGGGGTGGGGTAAGCCGGCAGGAGGGCGAGGAAGAGGTAATATCCTGGGGTGCAGACAGGAGCTGGAGCCCGGAGCCAGGGACCTGACCCAGGACCCTGACCCGGATGAGCAAGAACAGCCTTCCTGATGCCCGGCTCCCTTCCCCCCGGAACAGAGGAGAGAGCAGCGGGCTCTTGGGCTCTCAGTATAAACCCTGCGAACCCCGCGTTCCTTCCTCCCGGGTGTGGCTGTGAGCAGGCTGTCAGCTGCCCCGTCCTCCCTCCTCACATACTGAAAGTGGGGACAGCCCTCGCCCCAGGGGCTGCGATGAGGACTACTTGAGGACAAGCAGCCACGAGGCTCCAGCAAAGCTGACAGTGTGGACGCTCGCAGTGTTGGTGGCACGTCCCGCCCATTCTCCCTCCTCCCTGCTTCCCCCGAGGTGTCAGTATCTGGGGCCTCCACTGGCCAACCCGGTCCACTTAGTTCAGTCCAGGGACCCAAAGGGTCTCGGATGCCAGAGCCAGATGGAGGGGGAAGAGCAGTTAAGGGCCCAGGTGCACCGCCACAGCAGAGGGGGGGCACAGGGGTGTCTTCTGTCTGCTAGACAAGGTCCCCTGGCTGAGGCGTGGCCAAGTCAGCTTCACGTCGCTGACTTTGGGGTTCACTGCTTCTCCTGTGGGTGTGTGTGGAGAGAGAGGGTTGTCTTGCAATGAGCCCCGGAGACATAGGGGTAACCCCCCCAACTCTGTGCTCAGACCTTTCCACCAGCAGATGTGCTCGGAGGGGCGCAGAGGGAGGGAGGGCAGCCCACAGGGCTGGGAGCCTGGCTCCGGGCCAACAGCTGCCTGGCTTTGGGGCCACATGTCCTGATGCTGGTCCCGGACCCCGACCCGACTGTCCCTCAGGCTGTGGCTTCTTCCCTCTGGTCCCTTCCCCAGGGCTGTTACACCGTGATCCTCAATGCCTTCGAAACCTACGTCTACCTGGCTGGAGCCCTGGCCATAGGGGTGCTGGCCATCGAGGTAAGTGAAGGGGCCACTTCCGCGGCTCCCCAGAAGCAGACCCCCATGGCCTGCCATCCCCAGCCCACCTGTGTCTCCACCTAGGGCCATGGGTCCCTCCTCTGCGGCTCTGTGGGGTGGGGAGCCCAGCCATGTCTCTGCTGCCTGAGAGTCACTCCCCTGTCCCCCCCCCCATCTCCACTCCTCTCCCGCCCTTGCCCCCCGACCCCTACAGTGGGCGAAGGATCAAAACACGGACTCGAGGGAGGGCTGCCGGCTGTGCTCCCGGCCAGGCCCTTTCTCTGTGATGTGCTCAGGGCCTGTGCGGCCTTGTTAACCCCACGAGGGCTTTCCCCGCCCCTGCACCTGAAGGTCCCAGCGCCCTCAAAAGGAAGGCAGCTGCAGACCCTCACAGGCACCAACAGGTGGCGCTTCAGCCAAAGGCTGGTGCTGCCCCTCCCTGATCTACTCCTGCTCAGGGAGGTTGGGGGCAGCGTTGTTCACACCCCCCTACCCAACATCTCCAGGAATGGGCACCCCAGACTTCAGCCACTCCTGGGCCTTTGGGGTGTGACGCCAGGGCCTCCCCTCCCAGGGCTGCCTTGGGGGTATCCCAGCCCCTGGCACCATAAAGGGTGTGGCCTTGCTCAGCTGCTCACTGTGCCCTGTAGCCCCCCTGCCCAGAGCAGTTTGAGGAGACCATTGGGGATGGTCATTTATTCAGTCATTCATCTACTCGGCAAGCGTAGACTGAGCCCCTACTGTGTGCCAGCACCGGTCCCGTGAACCAGCCCTCTCGGGGCGACAGTGAACTTAGAACTGGGCATGTGTCCTGTGCAGGAAGAGCATGGGCTTCTAGTCAGCTCCCGGCGCCTGGGGAGGCAGACCCTGCTCCCCACGGGGCTTTCCCGCGACCCCAACCCGCCTCCCCTCCCCACCGTCCCTCCTAGACATGTGTCCATGAGCCTGTGGTCTGAGGACTGTTCCCTGTGCTACTTGCAAGAATTCTGGCCATGGGGCACCTGCCAGCCTGGTCAGAGGGGCATCCCGAGGGGTCTCTGCCTGCCCACCACCTCGGGCCCTCAGTGGTTCCCTCCTCTGGGAAGGGCTGCGTCTTCCTGGCCTGTGAATGACAATCCTGGTGACTTGTTGCTAAGCACCTACTACACACGGGCGCCACTATGTCCTCAGGTGATCGCCTTACTGTCCGTCCCACCACCTACCTGTGAACTGGGAGAGCGCAGGTGTGAGCCTGGGCTGCGGGGTCAGGGGCTGGACTCAACCCCAGCTCCCCACTCCCAGCTGTGCGACCCAGCAGGTCACAGGACCTCTCTGTGCCTCGCTTCCCGGTCCCCGAGGTTTCTGAGGAAGCTCTCAGAACTGGGCCCGGCACACAGTGAGCTCGGAGACACTCGGCCCCAAGCAGGGAAGGTTTGGCCCAAGGTCGCTGCCGGCAAGTAGAAGCTGGATTTGAACTCATGTCCCTGGGTTTCCAAAGCCCCTTCTCTCCGTAACTGCAGGGCATGAAGGGGGCCAGTGGCTGGTGAGGGGGCTGCCCCCAGGGAGCCTCAGGAACCCCTACAGCACAGTGTGCCCCAGGTGGGCGGCCCGCGGGGGGGTTCCCAGCCTAACTGGCCGACTCCTACTTCCCTGCAGCTGTTCGTCATGATCTTCGCCATCTGCCTCTTCCGGGGCATCCAGTAGAGGGCGTGGCCTGAAGCCTGGAGATTCGTCCGCCCAAAGCTGCCCAGCACCCCGTGCCCTCCCCCCACCCACACCCCTGCCCACTGGTCCCGGGGGAGGAGGTGAGGCCGTCATGAGTGGCCAGGAGAAGGGGCAGGGGAAAATAGCTATTTTTTTAACAAAACAAAATGACAAAAATATGGACTGCGGTCCCCGCCTGGATTCCGGGGTGGGGACCGTGGGCGCTCTGCACCCAGGATGCGGCCTGCACGCGAGACCAAAGGAGCAGCGGCCCAGGTCCCCTCCTCGGCCCAGCCGGACTCCGGCAGCCTGCACCCGGGCCCTCTCCGCACAGCTTCGGGACCTGGTGCCAAGACGGTGAGAATTCGGGCCACCAGGAGGCAAAAGCAAGTCTCGGAGAGAGGTCCCGGAGTCCCGGCCGGGAGGCGCGTCACCGCGTCCTGGAGCACCCAGCACCTGCCCGCGGTTCCCGGGCCCCCGGTGGGCTGCGGACACCGGACCCAGAACGGCCCAGCCAGCCGGCCCTTGCTTTCCCAGCGGTGGACCAGATCATCTGGGGGCCCAGCGTCTCCTCCGGCTGCACAGCACACGCGTGACATTCTGGACGAGACTGGGTCGCCTCCGGCTGCCTGCCGCTCCCTCCGGGCTGTTGGCCCAGCAGGCTGGCTGGGAACAGCCTCTTCCCAGGTCCACTGCTAAGACGACTCTGGACTGCCCCCCTGCCCTCCCTCCCACCTCCCCACATGTCTGAGCCCCCAAGAACGCACACTAGAGTCCCTTTTCCGCACTGCCCATCTCTCCCGAAAAGCCCACCCCTTTCCCTGTTCCCTACCAAGTACGTGGCCACCCGGGCTGGAAGGAGCCCCCAAGATCACCTGGTTCTTCTCTCCCCTCCCAGAGGGTGGCTTGGATATCTTCTGTAAGATCCCCACCGAGACCTCTTCCTGCACCTCCAGGGCTGCGGAGCTCCCGCCTCCCAGGACAGCACTCGGCCTCTGGACTGCAGACTGAGCACCAGCTCCACACACACACACGCGAGACTCCCGCTTTTCTGTGCTCCCGCCCGAGGCACAGCTCATGCCCTCTCTCCTTCCCTGCTGCTAAGGCCACACTGTCTCCCCCGGGCTGTGACCTCCAGGCTGAAGAACCCCAGGGCAGCCCCTTTCTGCTGTGGCGTGGCTTCCTGCCCCTTCACCTCCCCGGCACACTGAGTGCTCCCTCCAGGCTTGGGCAGGCTTTCCCACCCAATGACACCCACACGGCAGCCCCTCCTACCAGACCTCAAAGTCTAGGCCCGTGTTGGCAACTGGACTGCAGGACGCCCCACCCTGACCAGTCAGGACGGCTGGTGCAGGGCCTGAGGTCTGGCCTGGGCGGGGCGGGGGACATGGGAGTCGGGGGTGGTGTGGAGCCTGCCCTCCCGTCTGCTGTTCAGGGCCTGGGACAAGCCCGTCCGGTGTCACCGGCACTGTGCCAGCTCCCAGCCTGCCCCCCTTACCGACCCCCAGTAGCCCCCTGCTCTGCCACCTGCCCCTCCTGATGCAGCCAGAGCTCGGTGCCTGCTGTGGATTCGGTCAGACCTTCCTCCCACCTCCCCCTCCCGCCTTCAGTCCCCACCAACTGGGTCCTTCCCACTCGTCCCTGTACCAGCCTGCCCTGGCAAGTCCATGCCAGGAGCCCCCCAGCTGGTACCCCAGCCCAGCCTGAGAAGGGCCTGGGCTTACCCCTCCAGACCCACCCACATGCTCATACCCAGGCAAATGGCTGGCCTGAGGTTGACCCAAAAGCCCATGCTGGCTTGGCAGGATTCAGTCCATTGGCACCTGTGGGCGCCAGTCCTGGGGCAGCCCAGGAGAATCAAGGCCTTGGTGGCAAGAAGTGGCCGTAGGGCACACCCGCCCCTCCCATCCCCCACTCCCCCCACCTAGGCCCCAGACATTGAGGTCATGGGGGACCATTTGGGTGAGGTGAGCCCAAGGATGGATGTGAGACACTCCCACCGAGGACCTTCCAGAATGGGACCGTGGAACCCTGAATCTGACCTGCTAACCCCCTGGCCACTCCACAGACTGGAAGGGCAACGGATCTGCTCGGGCTGGCAGCTGTCTGCAGGGGTGCCTGCACCCCGCTGAGGGGACAGGGTGCAGAAAGCCCTGCCCGTCTGAGAGCCCCCCCGCTGGGCTGGCCCAGGCAGAGCCCCTCCTATAGGTGCTGGTGGCAGCTGGGGGGGGGGGGGTAGGAGTGTCTCTGCAGACTCATGACCCGGTGACAGGCCACGGGCCAGGGAAGAGCCTGCTTGTCCCTGCTCCAAAAACTACTGCCTCGGGGGAAAGGGGACACATCTTAGGGGCTGGGGCCCAAACAGGATCCCCCAAACTAACAGGCTCCTGCCCCCTCCCCTGGGGCCCTGTTGAAAGTCTATTTTGAAAACTGTAAGTGTTCTTGCAGTAGATAGCAGAGCTAATTTATCATGTTTATTCCTGAGCCCCCTTTTCTACTGTATATCCAGAGTTTTGTAATATAAAACAACACCCACACTGATGGTTTTGCACTGGTTTTTGTGACCATTTCTTACAAAAAGAAAAAGGAACGAAGAATAAATAGTGACCATGAAGAAAGGTGGTCTTGATTTGGGGCTGGGGCAGGAGCTTGGCAAGAGGGGGCTGGGTCTGGTGGCAAGGGGGCTGGGGGAGCGGGAAGGGGCGTGCTGGTGGGAGCTGGGCCCTCTGGGCCTTCCTCACCAGACTTGTGGGTTCCTCTGTCCCTGGCTGCTCCCCAAGGACTCCTCCTCACCATCCCCCCAGCCCTACCCCCAGGCCACGTCTGTCTGCCAGACCCCCACCCCAGGCCTCACTGGGACGGTTAATCCAGCCGCAAGTTCATGAACACTGCTCTGTGCCCAGGCCTGGGCGGCCATCCCAGTGCCCCCTCACCGCACCCCGTGGGGCGAGGCCGTGCCCACCCCACCCCAGCTGAGAGCGAAGCAGCTCCCAGCTCAGCCCTGGCAGATGCCTAAGGCAGAGCCCATGCCTCATTCCCCCTGCCCCGAGGGCCTGCCCGCCATGCCCGGCGATTATTAGGACAAACCACCCACCACCGGAGAACTGGCCAGGCCTTCAAAGGCATGGGTTGGATGGACATGGCCTTGGTCTGGGGACATTGCCCCCAGACACCAATACCACCTCCCAAGTCAGTGATGGGCTCCCAGCCTGCCTAGAGCCCTCCCTGGGGACAGGCTGCCCAGGTTCCCATCCCCTCGGCTGTGGCCACCTGCAGCACAGCCTTAGGTACCCGACCCACCGGCTTCTCAGCTGTGCTGGGCACCAGGTGTGTGGCTGCAGGGACCGCTGGGCACGGGGGAGCGGGGCAGGGCGCCCCGTGTGGCAGGGTGAGGTCCCCCACAGAGGCCCCCTGGGCAGCAACCAGAGCTGGGCTGCACCGAAGGGCCCCCTCCACCCCCCGCAAACACCTATTTGAAGACAGGAAGTGAGACTGGGCCCTGAGCTGCTTCTCTCCACACCTGTCCCGGAACACAGGGGCTGCCATTTCCGGGGAGCACACTCACGTCCTGGAGGGAAGGGGCACACTGGGAGGGAGGAGGGATACTGGGGCACACGGGCCGTGGGTGTGCAGGGGGTCAGCTCCCAGGGAGCCGGTGGCAGCCTTCTCCAGGGCGTCTGTGGGGCGGAGGGCATGAGAGGAGGTGGCCTGCTGAAACACTTCTATATTTCTCCCTGCTGAGTTGGAAGGGTCCCTAGTCCAACCCCACCAGACCCTGGGGGCAGCCCAGACTAGGGGTCCCAGTGAGCATCTGACCCTGGAGAACATGCCGAGGGACAGGAATGCCACTGCCCTTTTCTCCTCATCTCCAAACGATCCCTCACAGGTGGCCTCCGTGGGGTGACCTGTGTGTCCGTGTCAGGGCCAACCTGCAGGGGAAGCCACTGGCAGCCTCTGGACCCAGGCCCGTCGGGGGAAGGGGGCTCCTAGGAGCCTCCAGGAGCTGGGGGGAGGCAGGCAGGCTGCAGCGAGGCCCCAGGAGGGCCCGTGGGGCCCCTCACAGGAGGCCAGTGGCAGCTCCAAGACAGCCACCCTGCACGTCAGCCTGCAGTGGGGCCTGGGGAGGGCAGCTGTGTGTTCAGGGGCGGGGAGGGCCCCCACCTGTGGGAGGGCCCCCACCTGTGGGAGGGCCCCCACCTGTGGGAGGGCCCACAAGGAGAAGGGGCACGAGGTCAAGTCCTCAGGTCTTCCACGGTCAGCTGCTTGGGCACTACACTGGCTGGGGGGAAGGGGGAGCACAAGGGGCAGCCCACAGCCTCTCGAAAGAAAGGGCCTCTGGCAGAAGGGGGGCCTCACTCAGCCCGACGGCCCGGGGTGCAGGCCCTTCGGTAAGCATCTGTCGTGGGAATCCGGGGGCCGAGAGGCGCAAGGAAAGGAGGCATCTCTGCGTGGGGCAAAGAACAGGGGTGCAAGGCCCTGCCCCTCCCCAAACCTGCAAGCCCAGATCACAGGATTCGGGGGTGCCCAGGAGGAAGGAAAGGGGCCACTCCTATCTGCCTGGGCAGGGCAGGGTCCTTCCTGCCTTCCGTGAACCAAAGGGAAACCGAGGCCCGAGGCCTCCTGCCCCCACAGGGCCCAGCCAGAGGTCTGCTAGACTTTCTTGGGTTTCCGGCCGACTTGGTAATAGTAGTAAATGCTGATGGCGACAAAAAGGAGGCGGCTGGCCAGGAGCAGCAGGATTCCCAGGGACACGAGGCCCGTCTCGGCTAGCGTGGCAGTGACCACTGTGGAGAGGCCAGGGAGGAACGGAGTCAGAGGGGGACCGTGCCCTCGCCTCACCCCAGCGCTGCAGGCTGACCCAGGAGCCTGGGGGGCTGCCTCTCCGGCCCCGTCCTGAGCCGGGGAGGGTCCTGCCAGCTGTCTGACCCCACAGACGTGCCCGTTCTGCTGTCCCCCACGGGGCAGGAAGTGAGGTGTGCCGGGGTGTGGGAGGCCGCAGGGGCACGTGTGCGGGGAGGCTGTGGAAATGCCCGGTGTGTATTCGGAAGGCACAGGGAAGTGTCAGGTGTGCAGGACGCAGGTAAACACAGCTGCACGGGTCCCTCCCCCTTGGGTGGGTTTCCATCACTTCCTAGAAACCCAAGTGGCAAGGGCTGGAAGGTGGGGGCAAAGCTGCCCTGCCCGCACCCCGCTTTCGGCCAGCCTCCCCTCACTGCCCACCTCAGGACTCACCCAAGAACTGGACCCCGAAGTAGCAGGCTTCAGTGAGCAGAGTCCACCGAATGATAACCTTCTCGGCCGTGTAGAGCGCGTTCCACATGATCAGGGAGATGCCTGGCGGGGACAAGGCGGGGTTGGGGCAAGGCAGCTGGCCCACCCACCCCTCTGGGGCAGGGCCACGAGCCTGTTCCCAGTCCCTCTGGCCCTCATGGCGAGCGGGCCAGGACCCTGTACAGCTACGTCTCCGGCCCCCACCCATTTCCTCCAGTTAAACTCACCCACCCACCCCCTGCCCTCGCCCTCCAGGTTCAACTCTGCTGTGTCAGCCAGTGACTTTGTTCCTGTTCGTGCAATGTCCCACACACTGTGGGACCCTACAGCTCAGGTCCCCTCACTGGGACTCAGTCTTTTCATCTGTAAAACGGGAGACCTGAGCTCTAGGTATCCTGCTTGTTATGGTTCTGGGCTGAAGGGAGCCTATGAGTTAATAGGTTACCTGGTCCTACAACCAGTTTCTTTTCGAGTGGACTCCTGGAGAGGGAAAACCTGAGCCCATGAAGGAAAGTCTCTGAGGAACGCCCCAGGGGAGGTGGGCAGACCACACTTCCAGGGGAAGAACCCCCTACTCAGCCCCAGCTAGGCCAGGCTTACCAGGCCCTGCTGGCTCTGAACACCAGATACGCACTCGCTGTGTTTAAAAGAACCTAACCCCGTAGCTCTAGCTTTCCCACGGGGTGAAGTGCTTGAGGCCGCCCCAATCTCCACCAGCCCCGGCCCGAGGTACTGGAGCTGGCCCCTGAGGGCTGAGTAAAGTGCATTCAGCACAAGACTGGGAAAACCGCGTGTGCAAAGGCGCGGAGGTCTTCTGAAGATGGGGACTGGGCAGGATGAGGTGCGGCTAGATGTGGACATAGGTTTGGGAAGGCAGACTGGATCCACACGACAGATGACACTGAACGCCAGGTGGAAGAGCTGAGAGGGACTTTAATCTGAAGGCAGTAAGGAGCCATAGAATGTTTTGGAGGAGAGGAACACCATCTATACTAGGTTTTTAAAGCTGTCATTCAGCTTCCTAACAGGCCTGTGTGACTGACTGGAGAGGAAACAGGAGTGGTTCGAATGAGAGGCCCAAGGGCATGCGGGGTTTTGCAGGCAGTATTGGTTTTGCCTGCTTCTCGAAGCTGTGAGGCCTTAGAGGGCAGGGCCTTGGCCTCATTCATCTCTGCACCACGGTGCCCACGTGGTGCACCATCCCCAACAAGCACTCAGTAAGTAAATGCTTGTCCCAGATGATGGCAAAGACAGAGCCCCGATCCACTAGGTGCATTCTACTAGTGGCCACAAGATGGCAGCATACACCCAGCAGAGAGCCATCGGCGGAAGGGGATCTGGGAAGGCCCTGGCACAGAGGGCTCATGTTCCCCTCCACCCAGCTGGGTCCCCCAGCTGCCCGTTACCTCCCTACAGAGCTCTCCCAAGCAATACTCACTGAGGAGCGCTCCCCCATAGAGGCGGATGGGGGTCTTGCTGGTCACCTGGGCTCCATCAAAGACGGCGTCATAGAGCTGGTCAGGGAAGGCAAGGGCCTGGGGACACAGGTAGGAGGTTCAGGGTGGGCTTGAGGTCACCATGAAAATCCCCTGACATCTTCCTTCCCCAGGAATAGGGCCAGGGTCCCAGTGCAGTCCGGGGTCAGGCTTGCTTGCCCCCCACCCCTCCATGCCAGGACAGAAGGCGCTGGGGTTGCCGGGGCCAAGGAGTCGGATCTGGGCACAGAGCTGGACGCTCCAGGGCACAGGCAGGATGAATGCCAGGAGCCAGGGCATGGAGGCAGCCAGCGAGCCTGGGCAGATGGGGCCTCGGCATGAAGGCCGTGCCGGTGGGGAGAAGCAGCAGGGGCCGGGGCAGGGGAGGAGCCCCCAGCACAGGCCGGTTCCTGGGGGTGGGGGTGGGGGGCTCACCATGATGGCAATGCCGGAGAAGAGCACAGCAGAAACAAACTGCCAGACCCTGGGGAGGCATCGACAGGGAGGTCACAGCCAGGCCCCTCGCTGCCACCCCCAGACCCTCCCAGCCAAGATGCCCAGGGATGGCTGGTCTGGGGGAGGAGTGAGATGGGCTGGAACCGAGGGCAAGCCCAGAGGGGCAAGGCTGGTGGGCGGGGTCTCCTACAGCCCAGCCCAGAACACAATGCTCACCGCAGGCCCAGAGGCTCCCGAACCGCAAACTTGATTTCATTGCCCAAGACCTGGCTGATCTGTGGACAGAGGAGGGGTCAGAGGCAACCAGGGGGAAGGCAGGGCTCCGCACGCCCGCCCCTCCTCCCCCATCCTACCCCAGCCCGCCTGGGCACCTCTGCGTAGCCCAGCAGCCACCCAGGCCGGAAGGGTCCCGCGGAGGCCACCCCCTCCCTGCCTCCCTGCCTCCCGGGCCTCAGGGAGGCCGACACTACACTACGATGGCTGAGAACGGACACGCAGGGCTGCCAGACGTGGGCTCGAAGCCTGGCTCTGCCACTTACTGATGTGGCCTTGGGCAAGTCACCTGCCCTTTCTGAGCCTCAGTTTCCTCATCCATACAATGGGTTAATAATAACTGTATCGGCACCTTGCAGGGCTAGCGAGATTAAATAATGCTTACAGAACAGTAGTATAACAACAGGCACAGACTAAGCACTCAATTCTAACAATTCGTTTTCATTTCTGTTATTATTCCCCTGACATCTCCATTAAGTTTCTAGAAAAATGAGCTAAGTCCGGGGGCTCCTGCAGATGCATGGGTCTCAGCTCCTCCTGCCTCCCCAAACGCGCTGAGCGGACCCCGATGTGGCCCACCTTGGAGCGGTGCACCTCCCCGTCGTCGTCCTCCCCGCCCACGCCGAGGATCTTGCGAGTCTTCAGGCGGCTCACGAGGTCCGTCTGGCTGTGCTTCTTCATGAGAGGGGGGGGCTGCTTGGCCGCCATCTCGCCCAGGAGCCCGGCCTCTGTGGAAGGGCTGCAGGGGGACACGGGCCTCAGGCCATGGGTCCTGCCCCGTTTCCAGACCTCAGAGGGTGGCCTGCTGAGCCCGGGGTCCAGGCTCTCCACTGAGCTTCCGCCCAGCAAGCCCTCCTCCGTCCCTCTCTCAAGTCCCCCAGACAACCTCCTTCCAAGAGGGGAAGAGGCTGGCACCGGAACCAGCCGAGCCAGAGGAAGGATGGCCAGGGCTTCGGATGGTCCGGGTCTGCCCCTCCCTGCCATCAGCACCTACCACCAGCCTCTCCCCTACCCCGTGTCTGCCCGTGACTTTCCACAGCCCTGTCCCCGGCCACCCCCAGCTCCACCTTGGGCCAGGTCTTAAGCACCTACTGTGTGCCAGGTGCCGCGCTGGGCAGGGGAGACGCAGAGACGAGTTGAGTGCCCGTTCTCGTCTTCAGTCAGCACAAACCTGTGCAGAAGACAGGAGTGCAAACCGCAGTGAGGCGAAGCTTCCAGAAGCTGGCGCTGGGTGTGGCACTAGGCCCCTCTAATCACAGCCACTCTGCCCGGCAAGATGGGTGCTGTTTATACCCATTGCTCAGATGAGGAAACCCAGTTCAATGAGGTTCAACCCAGCTCAGTGAGGTTCAACCCAGCTCTGTGAGCTCAGTGAGGTTCCACCCAGCTCCGTGAGGTTCCACCCAGCTCCGTGAGCCCAGTGAGGTTCCACCCAGCTCCGTGAGCTCAGTGAGGTTCAACCCAGCTCAGTGAGGTTCAACCCAGCTCCATGAGCTCAGTGAGGTTCCACCCAGCTCCGTGAGGTTCCACCCAGCTCCGTGAGGTTCCACCCAGCTCCGTGAGGTTCAACCCAGCTCCGTGAGCCCAGTGAGGTTCAACCCAGCTCCGTGAGGTTCAACCCAGCTCCGTGAGGTTCAACCCAGCTCCGTGAGCCCAGTGAGGTTCAACCCAGCTCCGTGAGGTTCAACCCAGCTCCGTGAGGTTCAACCCAGCTCCGTGAGCCCAGTGAGGTTCAACCCAGCTCCGTGAGGTTCAAACCAGCTCCGTGAGGTTCAACCCAGCTCCGTGAGGTTCAACCCAGCTCAGTGAGGTTCAACCCAGCTCCAAGAGGTTCAACCCAGCTCCGTGAGGTTCAACGGAGACGGGTCGAATGACAGCGGCACCAGCAGGGGTGCCTCCCGTGTTCCAACATCTCTCTCCCACCAAGGCCACCCTTGGGAAGGCATGAAAAGCACCCCCATTTACAGACAAGGCGCAGAAGTGACCCGTCCTCAGCTGAAACCTGAGCTGGACTTGCAGGATGTCCCTGACCAGGCCTCGGGCCCAGGTCTCAGTGCCGTGTGGCCCCAGGCGGGTCTCCCTCTCTAGAACTGCCAAAGACAGAGCACAGAAATGTCCCTGGGTCACCTCCAGTTCCCCGGCCCCCCAGTGTCTTAAAATAAAGCACCCGGCAAATAAACATCAGAACAGAGAATCAAACTACGGGGTGTTTGGAAATAAGGGCAACATCAGTGCGGGTGGTCTGCAGCGAGCCCCTGGCAATGGCCTTCTAAGCTCCCTAGCCAGTCCCTCATCCGGCAACTGGGGGCGGCTGTGCTTTGCCCTCCCCACACACCTGGGGGCACAGCAGGTGGCTGGTGGTGACCAGAAGGCAGCTCAGTGCCCAGTGCCAACAGGCAGGGAGGCAGACGGCCCCACTGGGACAGCCAGCGTTCCATCACACCGCTCCTTGGAGACCGAGGGGTTGTCACAACCCCTCAGCTGCCTGCCACCACCTTCCTGTGAGTCCAGACAGAAGCTGTAACCAGCCTGGCATCCCTCCGGCTGCCAGGCGGGCCTGAGAGCCACCGCACAGTGGCAGTCGATGGACAGACAGACCAGTGTCATCATCCAGGCACTCACTGAGAACTGGGTAGATTCCAGAGGTTGATGACTGCGAACAAAGCTGCTACAAACATCCACGTCCAGGCTTCGTGCAGCCGTAAGTTTTCATTTCTCAAAGGTAAATGCCCAGGAGTGGGACGATTCTGAGTCACACGGTAACTCTCCATTTTGCTCCAGGAGAAAGTGCCAAACTGTGGTCCACGGCGGCGACCCATGTACATTCCCCGCCACAGGAGCGTTCCAGTCTCTCCAGCCTCCCAGCACCGGCTTGGGTCAGTCTTCCAACAGGCCCCTGGCTTTCTAACCCTCTCCCCGGCCAGCCAGGCTGCCTGACTCGGTCCCTCCTGGCTATATGAGTGGGCAAGTCACCTCACTTCTCTGAGCCTCAGCTTTCCCCATCTGTGAAATGGAGCCACACTCCCACCTCCTAGAGACTTCGGGGTATAAAGAGAAGCCTGGTTAGAGCACACAGCGCAGCAACGGCATCTTTATTTTCTTTTTTATCCTCACCTAAGGACATTATTCGATATTTTGCTCAGATAGAGCGGGAGGGAGAGAGAGAGAGAAACATCAACATGAAAGGGACACATCGAGTGGTTGCCACCCACACGACCCAACCAGGGCTGGGGACAAACTGCCACCGAGGTACGTGCCCTTAGCAGGAACCGAACCCGGGTCTCTCCGGACCGCAGGCCGACGCTCTAACCACTGAGCCAAACCAGCCAGGGGGCAACAGCATCTTTAAATGAAGAAACTGCATTTAGCGAGTATGTGCCGTGATCCAGGTATAGGTGGTGGGACAGGGCCCTGCCCTTCAGTAGCTCACAGCCTGGGTGGGAGGGGGTTCTGATCTGTCAGCCAACCATCAGAGCCCCGAGTTCCCCTCTGTGAAATGGAAACCCTTACTTTTCCACAAAGGCTGGGCTGGAAGGCCTTATCGGTGAAGAGGTCGTACCTGAGTTCACACTCTGATCAACCTTAGCTGTGTGCCTGTGGGCAAGTCATTCACCTCTCTGAGCCTTGGCCCCCCATCTGTGGTCGGGAAAATAAAGGGCCCTACCTCAAAGGGACGCTGTGAGAACACCAGGCAGTGCGAAGTGTGTGCGGCAGTGCCCGCCCCGGGCAAGGACTCACGGACACGGGCACTCGGACCCCGGCTCTGGGGCGGAAGCCAGGGGAAATCCGGGGAGGGCCTCACTCGCATTCCCTGGTATCTCCACCGCCCGCGAAGCCCCCAGACCTCAGTCCCAAGGCACAGGCTGCCTCTCGAGCCACAGCCCACAAGGCCGGGGCTGCGTCAGTGACCCCAGCTCAGGGGGTCCGCTGCCTTCCCCCGCCCATGTCCTCTCCTCACCAACACCCCGCTCTCCTCTGCGGCACGGGCCGGAACCACGGTGCGAGGCTGAGTGCGGCCGTGCCGGCTGCTGGAGCTGGGGACAGAGAGTGACGCCATCTGACACTGCTCACTCATGGGTGAGACAGGCTTTATCCAGCCACCGGGTACCTGGGCCGGGGGACCCGCTGCAGCCACGGCAGGGCGCAGCCCCAGCACCGAGCTCGCCTCCAGGGGGAGTAAGATCTGAACTGATCTCTGGCGAGTGGATCCCCTGCACCTGCCTCTGCACAGTTAACTGCTCCAGCACTGAGTGCGGTTCCTCCGCCCGCAGGCCTGGGCCCTCCTGGGGGGAGGCGGGCAGCTGTACACTTCTGTACACCCACCAGCCCCTAAGCTCACCCCCGGTGAACGCACCCTCAGATCTGCCCCTGAACTTTCCTCCCCTCCAGGGCCACTCGGTGTTGCTTTCAGGCCGCGCCCCATTTTAACCTGAGAGGACTTCCCTCCACTCGTCTCCCTACACTCCGGATGGACTCTAGCGTGGGCCAGCCAGACCTGGGTCCGAACCCTGGTTCTGCTCTCGTACCAGCTGTGGGGCTGTGAGCCAGCCTCCCAGCCGGCTCCGCAGCAGTGCGGGGGCAGAGGGCGCGCGGCCGCCGGCAGCCAGCACCCTGCCCGGGCCAGGCCGGCCCAGCTCCTTCTCCCCTCTTCATTCACCCGCGCGCAGTGGAAAAAGCCCGCCGGGCAGGGCTGTCACGCTTCCTTTGCCAGCTCCAGCTGCCATCTGAAGGGCCCAGGGCTTCCCCACATGCCAGGCTTCCCCATCTGGGGGGAAAGTCGGAGGACTGCTCCTCCACCTGCGCGCTCCCTTGGGGGGACCTGCCCAGAAAGAAGGGCGGGCGTGGCTTGCAGTTCGTGACCCTCCGCCTCCTGCCCCTGGCCAGCTTCCTTGAGCTCGATTCCCAATAAAGCTGGCAAGTCCCTGTCCTGTTAATAGTTATTTCCATTCTGAACCACTGTCCAGCCAGGACGGCCCTCCCTGCCCTCCGACCCCCAGCACCCTCCCACGTTCCTTGTTCTTCCAGTGTCTGCATGGCCCCCTCCAGCGGGCCTTCCCCGGCCCTGCCCTCCCCCTCTGGACCCATGGGTCTCAGTGCAGTGGCACTGCCCCTTCCAGCCCCTACCCCTAGCCGTCATGGGCAGCTGGCCTCCCCGAGATGCAGTGATCTGAAGGCAGGGCTGGTATTTGCCCGGCTGAGTGTGCCTGCTGGGCCCTGGCACACAGTGGGCACTGCGTTAGCACAGGCTAATGAGACAGGCTAAGGGAAGCAGTACCCAGGACACGCAGGACCACACTCAGCTCCATGTGGCAGGGCCCACGGGGAGGTTCTGCTCGGAACAGATGGGGCAGAACGCTGAGGCTCAGAGGGGCCGGGTCTGCCAGGCCGCACACGAGCTGGTGGCAGAGAAGGGCAGGAAGTGCGCTTTTTGCAGTCAGCAGGTCTGGCTTGGAATTTGGACTCCAGCTACTGCGCAGGCAGCCTTGGGCAAGGGGCTCGTGGGGTGCTGAGGAGTCCGGAGAGGGTGCAAACACTCTCAGCAGAGGCCTGGTGTACGGGTGCCCAGGACACGGTGGGGTTAGAGGACTGGGTGAGAACTGAGGGTGCAACATCGCCCCCACTGCACCAGAAGTGGAGTGCCAAGGAGCGGTGTCAACAGGGCCTGGGACAATTCCTGGCACATGAGCTCAACAAGTACTTGTGACAGATGAGTGAGTTGAGGGAGGGGTTGAGAGGCCCCTGCTGGCCAAGGTCTGGCTCCTTGCGGCCCACTGCCCCTCCCCGCCCCTTCCTCACGTGCTGTGACACGAGGCCAGGAAAGAACATCCCCAAAGAGCCCCAAGTGGCAGCCAGACAGAGGAGCCAGGACTGGGCAGAGGCCAAGCAAAGCCCCCGGAAACCGAGCCAAGCAGGAAGGGAGGGCTCAGCGGTGGTAAAAGTGTCAGAGGTAAAAATGTCAGAGGCGGATGACAGAGTGGAGTGAGGGGGGTGTACACGTAATGGTTGGTAAACCTGGGCTCAAACCTCAAAGCTCGATCTTATTTATGCTGTGACCTCAGGAAAGTTTCTTAACCTCCCCGAGCCTCCATTTCCTCCTCTGTGAAACCGCACTGCTCCCTAGGTTACAGGGCTGTGACCAAGCACATGAGAAAAGGCAGCGGAGGGCTGGGGCGCCTCTGTGTGCCCAGCATAGGAGAGCAGTTGATAAGATCATGGGGCGGCTGCCCAGGCTCTGCCCCTGCAGCGAGCAGATGGGCTGGGGCATCCTTCTGCCAGTCCTAGAGGACCTCTCCCCACCCCTGGTAGACTTCTCAGGAAGCCTGGTTTCCATAGAAACAGATGGACTGCAGAGCTGTCCCCATC